GCGGAGCTGCGACCTGCTGGCCGAGGGGCAGGGAAGGAGGCCGCAGGTGTGGGAGCGGTTACACGTGTAAAGCTTTATTAACGTCCGGTAATTGAAGGAAACTTTGCCCCCTCCCTCTGTCGAGCTTTTATTTTAATCTTCCGTGTAGCTATTAAGGCTTATGAAAGGTATTTGTCACAGCTTTGAAAATCTGGCCAGCTCAGCTACCTGGCTGTGACACGGAGGTTTGAGTGTACGTGGTGACTCCTGCGCTGCCGTCCTGTGGTGGTAGCTGTGGTGAGCGTGACCCACTTCTCCTGGAGAAAAGTAGGACGTGTGTCAGAAATCTGAATTGCGCAAGGAAGTTTTGCCAGCAATCACCCCCTGTATGTAGCCAAGACCAGGGCTGTAGATCTTTTTAGACCAATACAGCTGGAGAAATCACTTTAAATCACATGTTCTTGTGAACATGGCAATGTGCTAGAGTTGTAAGTCCCCTCACCTTAGCCAAACCCTTGTCCTCTGCACATGGCTTCTGCTTTCAAGAAGGTAGCTATGATTTTAAGGATCACTTCTGTGGAAGACGTGATGACAACATATGCTAAAGGAAAGACAGAAGGTGCTGAGGCACACGTGAAGTCCCTCAACCAACCAAAACTTTCATAAGCACGTATGGTTCTTGTTCTTTTAAAAGGCTACTGTAGAATGACTTAACGTAAAACTGACGCATGCCAAACATAGACCTCAGAAATGCGTATGTTCCTGCTCTATAGGAAAATAAACTTATCCCCTTCATAACACGAGGGAAATCTTTATGTTCTTTTATGTAGTTACTAAATAGAAACATCATACTAAAAATCTTTAAATATGTATTACCTCCAGAGAATAGGTAAAGTGGATATTTACCTTGACGAAAATAGCTTCTGTGAGGCAATATCTGCTTAAATTATTTTTGTCCTTACATCCTAAATCTATACTTGCAAGAACTATCTAATTGCTAATTTCAGTAATAAAATTTTACATTTTGGGGGTATCATCCTGATTAGTGTATAGAGTTTTTTCCCCCAAATAAGACTTGTTCTTTTACAAACATCCATAATACTAGTATCGTTTCTGGAAAAAGAAGAAAAGGACCCTCTCCTCTCACTTCTGAATGTTGATGCTTCAGATTCTCTCCCATGCATGCCTTCCATTGAGATAGCAAGAAGTCCATCCAAATATGCTCCTGTTCATCCTGGAAGGGCTCATGCAATCCTTATACCTGCCTTTAAGATTACTTTAATTTCTCCCAAGCATTGCTTGAAAGTACACACACACACACACACACACACAGACACACACACACGTGTACATATACATACATTTAGCAAAACATAAATTAATCTTGCACCCTCCCTCCCCTTCCCTCAGTAGACCCTTTCTGGAAGAGAAGGAAGAAGGAAATTATACATTTGAGCTACTTTGAGAGAGAAGGGAAAAGAAAGGACCACAGAATTCTTTCTGATTTTAAGTCTTTACTGTAATAAAATTCATTGTAAGGCCTGCTTTGGTGAATTTGGGTGCCAAACAAGTTAGCATGTATCATGCAGTAGAAGTATGCAGGAAGCCATTTTGTCAAGTAAAACAGTTGTCCTGAAAAAGTACCAGATGTTAGAGAACATATTTTCAGAAGTAATTCTTTTCACGCTTAAATTGGCAGCTATTTTTTTCTGCCGATACAATGACAGCAATTATAATATTTTGTGAAGAAAAATACGGCTTCCTCGTAAGTCAATTTTTACACAGTTTTAGCGTTTTTTGAGGACAGATGATGCAGGCATTGAGAGAAGTAACACAGCTTGCAAACTTAGGTATAGATTGCAGGTGCAAAGAGTGCTTGTTGTGTTATTGTTCTCTGAAGAATAAAAATGTGAAAATGGATAAAGTAAAAACTTTTAGGATTTTTAATTATATTTATGCTTGTAACAAAAGTAGTTATCACTCTATATCTCTTTACATGGTTTGGTGAAATATTTTTCTGCAAAAATGTACTTTATACCAAGGTGTATGCACTTTATACCAATACTGGGAATTAATATTCCATTCCTGCAAGGACAAGAACACACTTGCAGTCATACCATATTAAGGACTTTCCTGGAGATACCAAGTACTAAGGATGAATCCTGATTAATAAACTAGGAGCAGTCAAGCAGCTATTCCTCCGAAATGGCCATTTCCAAACAGCATTTCCAGTAAGACCACCAAAAGTAGTGGTCTCATTTTTCAAAGTGCAGGAAGCTGAAATTTTAGGAAAATCAGTTCATTTTTTGAATTTCGGTGTAACTAAGCATCATTTGCAGATATCTTTAGTAATCAACTTTTTATATATTTTTCAGGCCAATCCATTTTTACCAAATACATGCAAGTTATGCCTGTACTTTTACCAGACTTAAGAATACCCTAACTTTATGAACTCTATACACATAAGCAATCGATCCGAAACTTCTCAGGCACTTCATTTCCCCCAGAAATTGAGATGGGGACAACATAGTGAAAAATGATTGCTTCAATATTTTTTTTAAACACATCAGTAAGAATCCTATGGTGATAACTAAAACAAGATGTTTACAAATCTAAGCTATGACAATGAGGAAAGTATGAAATAAGGATAATATTTGCAGTTTTATTAAATGCAAGGCAGTCAGGAAACAGTTCAAGTAGAGCACCAACTTTTGTTCTCTTCATCATGATTACCATTATAATTAATTTTATCAAAATTGCATTAGGAACTACGAAGCTAGCATTTTTCTTGTAATACTTTCTCGCTGGTACTGAATAGGAAGTGTAGTTTTTCCAGTGTTACTTTTCACAAGATGGGCAATCAAAAATGAAAATGAAGGGGGGGAATGACCAAAAAAAAATTACTATTCTTATACTTCACCAGTTACTAAGTGATGGCAACTAGGGAAATTGGCCTGGGTTCCAATGTGGACACTGTTGTGATCGTGCACTGGCTTAATGTATGGCTGTCAATAAAAAGCAAAAAAGATGTCAAGATACGCAGGGAGTGGGTTGAGAAGTAATGCAGAAAAATAAAGCTAGCATATATCAGCTGGGTGGTGCATCTTCTGACACGTTTGTTCTATTTGTCACACCTCCATCCCAGAAAAAGAATGCTGAAGTTAAATGCGCTCTAAAAAAAGCTGGCAAAAACTATGAGAGGCATAGAAAAACACCTGTAAGACAATATTGAAAAGTCTGAAACTGTTTATTTTAGAAAAGTAGCAAGTTGGACATGGTAAAGAGGAGGCAAAGTCAGGATCTTCTATTTTCTGATTTATAACAGAATTCAGTTAAATTAAAAGGTGGCACATTTAAAACAAAAAGATTTTTCCCCTCCACACATCAAGAAATTCATCACCCCGTAATACCAGTGAAATCAGAAA